TGGACCTGAAATATAAGAGCAGTGTTCAAAAGACACTGTGTAGTTACATATAGAGCTGATGATGCTCTTTAAATGTCTCCATGCAGACAGTGGGAAGTAATAGTAGTGAATTAGATAAATGGAAGAAAAGTAAAGATAGACGAAGACCAGTATAAAATTGGGGTAATAACAGATCCTAGCATTGTGCCTTATAGGTATTTATTTAGAAAAGACAACTAGAAGGCACAGCCTTATAGTCAATCTTTGAAGGGAAGGTGAAATCAGGATGAGTAAATCATGGGCTTGTATATTTCTGCAGGCAGAGAGGATGAGAACTAGAACTAGAATTCTGAAAGAAAAAGGAAAGGACAAATTTGGTACCTATTTGATTGCAGGGTTCTGAAACAGAAGAAGCTGTAATGACTCAGAAGCATAAGTCAGTGTAACTGAGTTGTGAGTCATAAGTTATTTCTTCAGATAAGAAACAAAAGAAAAAGACAATGGAAAAGATGCTTATTTCAAATTTTAAACAAAGATAGGTACAGATAGAACAGTTGTGTAAAGATATTGATTAGAGTAAAGGAAAAAACTCTAAAATTTTGTTAATAAGTCTTAATATTTTGATAAATAAAATGTATTTCTTTTAAAATGTTTGTAATATACCTATATATTACAATAACCATTCATTGCTTCCTATTTCCCCTTTCAAATAAAACATGTGGTTGGCGCTTCAAAATTACATGATAAAATATGTGGGATTTTTTTGCCACCATTTTCATTGGGAAATAAATAAAAGCGAAGCAATTTAGTGGTTAATAATAGGCTACATCAGAAATAAGTAATTATTAAAACATGGTACCATTATTTTAAAAATGTAACCACCTTTTTTAATAGCGGGGTATTAATTTAAGTTTAATTTATAATGTAAGTTTTTATTCTTCTAGAAATAAGTGATGGTTACCCAATTAAATATTTGATGGGAGTCAGTGTTATAAGAAGCAAGAAGCCCTACCCTTGGATTTGTGGCAACTTTTACTGAAAAGTTTTTGGGAATTTAGATAATTCAGTATGATTGTCCTCATATACACTCGAGTTTTAATTCCTTCTATCCTTCACCATTTACCTCAAAACCAAGGAAAATTTTATCTTCCTCATAATTAAAGCACTTCCCTCAACCTACCATGTGTATCTCAACATTAATCATAGCTGAGCCACAGTTTTTTTTTACTTAGTATCTCCTTCTATATTTCGTGTTCCTATTTTCCCTAGAATATGCCACCCTATCACATAAACAACCCTCTTAAAATTTACTTTTGTGCTCTATCTCCAATTATTACTCTTAACTTCCCTGATTAATTCTTATAAAGCGGTTTTTATTCTTGAAAACGCTCTCCAAAAAGTTATGAATTTATAAGCTTTTCCCCAACATAGTGGCTGTTTCTCAGTCCTCATTTCCTTGTCCTGTATGAAACATTGATAATGTCAGTCTTTCAACCATTTCTGAAAAAAGTTTCTACTTCAGGATACTGACACACTACATTTTCAGTAATGCCTGCATATGCTCCACAGAAGTGTGTGTGTTTTTTTTTACGTTTTCAAGAAACAAAACTTCATTTTCTTCTCATTTTATTCTTGAAGAACTCTTTTTATTTTAAAAAATATAGTTACATGATTATAGCACTTATGTTACTGTTGTACACAGTTACTGACCCCACCACCACCAAAGCGCACAATTCTGCCATTGTCCCTCCTCTATTTTGAGTCTGCTTCTTTATTCCTCATTTTCTCTCCTGGCTTCTACTAAGACAACTGAACTCATGAATATGAAAATTCCTTATCGTGAATGTTCACAATTCCAGTATTTTCAGATTTCTATGGAGAATGTCCAACTGACAAGCACCCCAGTAACATTCTCTTGCAGTGTCGACATCTGACCACCTTCTGTAAATTCCCTGACTTGAGATGTTGGGTTGATTTACATACAACTAATATTCTCAGGCTCTATTATTGTCTGGTGAAACTGTTTGACAACAAAATCAGTGATAGCACAGTACATACAGGAGGGGATATTTACATTTCTAAAGCATATATTTATATTATACTGAAAATATATGTAAAATATTAGCATTTAATAGATTGTTAGATTTGTAATTAAAAAAAATTAACTCCTAATTGTCCCATACTGATCACTAGCCATGACTGTAAATAATTCTGAAAGGAACAAATAACATCCGATTATTTTGTCTATCCATGTCTTCCACCTTGATTTTATAACATTTAGGTTATTACAAAAAGGTTTTGGTGCAACTCCTTGATGAAAAATTATATTTACAAAATTTCTGTATTCATACCTTTATAAGACTATAAAACCACATTTTTCTTTTTATTCACATACTAAGAATTTCAAATATTCACTTTGATCTCCTAAGCAACATTTTCTATATTCTACAATTACCTTCAATTCTTGCTTACAATTTGTCTTTCCTGGACCTTAGTAATCCATCTGGTTCTGAGGCTGCTCCTCACTGTCTGTTTTAAACCATCACCATACCTTTTTCAAGGTTAGCTCTTAAATAAAGCTGCCATTTACAGACACTAAATCTAAAGGAAAACTTTACCTCTATTACTTTATTTCTTTTGTTTGTTTGTTCTTCCAGTCATACCCAACAGTGTTCAGTTTTACTCCTGGCTCCATATTCAGGGATTACTCTTGGCAGTAAACCAGGGACCATCTGTATGGCTGCTGATCAAACCCAAGTTGGCTGTATGGGAGGCAAGAGCTTAACCCATGCAATGTGTCTCTGACCCATCTATTTTATTTCTTAAAACTGGCTAATAAGTGGTCTTCTTCGCTCGATAGAGAAAATAGAAGCAGAAGCAAAGAAACTTTAGTTCACAGTCCCATAAAAGAAGAGAATCAAATGAATATTTTTTCTCCCATCACAATAAAATTATCTTCACCATGCTTTATATTCTCCTCCTTTCTCAACTGTTCTTGCCTATTTCTGAAATCTCAGCTTGAACCGATTATCTCTTTCAAGTTTTCACTGACTGAAGCACGACAGAAACAGTTCATCTGTTTGTCTCATAAAGCACTCTTCACTAATATAACTAATTCTCTTGTATTAATCTTGATTATACTCTTTTGAGATGAAACAATATCTTATATTGTTTTGTAAGCCTTGTATCCCTAGGCATAATTCTGGTCATTGCAGCACTGCTCTTAGCATAATATATGTTTTCAATAAATTGCTAGTTGATTATATTTGATAAAAATGTGTCATGCTGATTTCTCTTTTCCTTTTGGGAAGTTAAAAATAAATATAATAAAATACAGGCATAAATATTTAATGTAAACTAATAGCAGGAAATTTATTCTGTATTTATTAATTTATTATATGCCCAAACAAAATTATCATATAATGCGACATTAAGCAATATGGTGGAGAGACATGATGTGCTTTTTATTTATCAGTTACCAGTGAGCTACTATTGACACAGTAAGAACACTAATAATAATCACTTTTATGTGTACATTTTTCCTGTTCTGATGATACATCTGAAGATGAAGCTTAGTTATTACCTCTGATTTAGAGATTCAATGCTTCATTTTATATCTACAATGAAACCATTTTATTACACAGTAGAAAATTCTCATTTTGCTATACATTTTACAGAGAATATATGATAAGAAATAATATAATGTTCTTTAAATTATTTGCTTATGTATTAGAAAATCATTTGCCAATTCTCTTAGATATGTTGGCCATATTTTCAAGAGAAGTGAATTTAGTAACATTGATTAATATTTAAAATATATATGGAAAGATCAAAAATTAATAGCTTAGTTACAGTTAAAATTTTTAAAGTATGTGAAAACATTTTAAAAAACAATATATATGTTCTCAAGAGTTATATAAATGCCTGCAATATCACTTTCACATCACATAGAGATATAGTTATAACTTTGTTTAGATTTTCTAAATATAGGCATATAAAATTATTTCAACAGGTAAAAGTATTGGGAATAGAGGTTGGAGTGATAGCACAGAGGGTAGGGCGTTTGCCTTGCACGTGGGCCAACTTGAGATCTATCCCCAGAATCCCATATGGTCCCTTGAGCACTGTCAGGAGTAATTCCTGAGTGCAGATCCAGGAGTAACCTCTGTGCATCGTTGGGTGTGACCCAAAGCGATAGCACAGCGCGTAGGGCGTCTGCCTTGCACACAACCAACATGGCCGACCTGAGTTCGATTACTCTGCCCCTCTCGGAGAGCCCGGCAAGCTACCGAGAGTATTCGATATGCCAGACACAGTAACAACAAAGTCTCCAATGGAGATGTTACTCAGCCCGCTCGAGCATATATATATATATACATATATAAAAAATTCTCTGGATTTTTCTTCTTTTTTCTTCACTTTCCACTATACTATGATTCTCCTCTTGTAAATTTTATCTACCTAATCTCTTGAATTCCTCAGAAAACTCTTTTTGTTTAAAATCTGTTTTCAAATAGACTATAATCAATGTTCATCTTAATGACCAAAATGCTGTGGGCCAAAGTGTACATGTATTTTTAACTGGTGTGAAAGAAAATGGATGAATAAAGTAGATAGAACAATATGAAACTATTCTTTTCAAGGTAAAAATAATCTACTATAGGTGATTTCACAAAGCTGAATCAATTGTAAAGAAAAGTTTCAGACTTTTGTCATAATCTGAATAAAGTCTCTGAATTTCATTGTGACATCCCAAAACTTTCTCAGCATTATTCAAGTGTCATGCAAGTACATAGGGATTAGCATGAGGAAACAGTCACAGCTCCCTACTGTCAGAATGCAGAGAAACAATTCAATTTTGCCACACATTTAAATATTTCAATTTTAGCACACACTTAATATATTTCAAATATACTGGGTGATGCACAGTATATTTCCAATATTTCTAACATTGTGAAGTCTTACCCTTACATGAGTGCAAAACCAGCTTTGTTCTTTTAAAGACTACAAAGTGCCCTTACCTGCTTTTGATGTCTTCTCATCTTTTTTAATTTCAGGTTCTGGAGTCACATATACACACAGAGAGACAAAAAAAATCAGACAACAAAAAGTTTTGCTTAGTTAGTAGTAAGTTGTTTAATACAGTTTTAAGTATATTTGCAATGTAACATAGGTAGTTTACTCTAATACAAAGTATTTAGTCATCTTAGCAAATAACAGACAGGCAAAAGAACTTCACTTTGAAATACATTTACTAAAAGTTTGATAGTTTAAGTAATCTGGAAAATTTAAGAACTCATATTTTATCATTTCCAGTGATCCTCATTTTAATATAAATAAATTAATACTACCTACTCAAGAACAAGAGGTATGATTCCCCCTCCCCCCAATTTATCCAATTTAGGCAGTTTTGATTTTTGACTACTCAGATTAAGTTCATGGAGCTCCACCTGGTGGTTAATTTAATAATTTCAAACTGGTTTGTTTTTTTATTTATATCTGCTATTGGCTCTATGCACTGTAGCACTGTCCTCCTGTTGTTCATCGATTTGCTCGAGCGGGCCCAGTAATGTCTCCATTGTGAGACTTATTGTTACTGTGTTTGGCATATTGAATACGTCTTGGGTAGCTTGCCAGGCTTTGCCATATGGGCGAAATACTCTCGGTAGCTTTTGGGCTTTCCAAGAGTGGTGGAGGATTGAACCCAGGTTCGCCAGGTCCACAGTGTGCAAGGCAAGCGCCCTACCCAAATTGTCTTAAATCTAGTAGAAAGATTAAAACCTACATTAAATAATTTTGTCTCTTACATTAAATATTTTTGTTCAGAAATTTTTCAATTTAAATTTAATGTCATTCAAATTTAATGTCATTATAGAATAAATTGAAAACTTACAAGGTAATAGTTTTATTTATATTTCTCCTAGTCAATATCATGGCTGATTATACTATCATGCTTTCCAGTCATTCATTTTATTTAAATATCTTTATTTTGGTCTAATTATTCTCTTCTCTTTTCATAATTTGTTTTGAATGGTGGAAGTGTTCTGATCCTTAAGACATTTTCTTCCTTAACAGAAAAATTGATCAGATAGTTAGGATTCTTTTCATCTTTTTTATTTTTATTTTTTTGCCACATCTGGCTATGCTCATCATTTCACCGTTTCTAGCTGAATATGGGCTCAGGGATAAATTTTGATGATGCTCAGAGAAGTGCTTCTACTTTTTCCCACCTCTGGTTGTGATTCTTAGTAAATACTATCTACTACAAGTACATAGTATCAACTATATTTGTGTCTTACATTAATAATAGATCCTAATTTTCTGAAGTTATAATATAAATGAACTCATTTGTTTAAATGCAGAATTGTGTACTGTAGAGAACTGTGAAGCACTAACAACATACAATACTAGAATGAACAGTCTGTAAAAACTGGCATTGGAGAAATTGGCCTCTCCCTGATGTACCTTTATTTCCAGTTATCTCATTCACTTAACTGTATCTGATGCATTATTTTTTGTATTAGTCTTAATGGTACCTGAGATTTGGTTATGTAATTTAATTTTATTATTATTTATATTTCATTTTAAGATTTTATGCTATATAAGCACAAAGGTGTGTTAATACCTAGTATCTATCATAATGATCGATATATACTGCTAAATATAGTAAATTATTATTCTTCTTATTACTAGAATGACAAAATGATCTTTCATGTGTAAGTGTAGTCCAAGTAGAAATGAATTTAACTTATGCTTCTATATCTACTACATCTAGATATAAACCTTCAGTGGTCTGATAAGGGTACATAGACACTTTGTTCACAAGTACTACTATCTTTTTTTAAAATAATTTTTAAAAATTTTAATATTTTGTATTTAGATTATTTTTAATAGAATCACTATGAAAAACACCCATCCCCCCTACCAGTGTACATTTCCTACCACCAACGTCCCCAGTTTCCCTCCTGCAACCCTCACAGCCCTAGCTGCCTCTGGCAAAACCAACCTCCTTCCTTCCTTCCTTCCTTCCTTCCTTCCTTCCTTCCTTCCTTCCTTCCTTCCTTCCTTCCTTCCTTCCTCCCTCCCTTCCTCCCTCCCTCCCTTCTTTCCTCCCAACTTCCCTCTCTCCCTCTCTCCCTCCCTCCCTCTCTCCCTTCTCTCTCTCTCTCTCTCTCTCTCTCTCTCTCTCTCTCTCTCTCTCTCTGTTCCCTTCCCCCGCTTGTGTCTCCTTTTAGGCATTATAGTCTGCAATACAGGTACTGAAAGATTATTTTTTGTCCCTTCACTTACTTTCAGTATTCAGTTTTTGAGTGTTGATTTCCAGGTATCATTGTCATAGCGGTCACTTCTCGATCCTAACTGTCCTTCCCAAAACCCCTACCACTTGTGACAAGCTTCAAATTGTGAACCAGTCCTCCTGACTCTTATTTCTACTGTCCTCAGGCATTAGTCTCATACATGTTTTTTTATTCCCTACAAATGAATGCAATCATTCTAGGTCCAGTACTATCTTTATAAAGGAGTTTTGTTTCTTACCCTACATATGGACCCCTCCCCTGTTGGTTACTCTACCATTATACTGTAATATTAAAATGGAATATCCATATTCTTAGATAAAGCATCATACTAAAAATTATAGAAAATATTTTCTTCTAAGTTATGGTACATGCTCGAGTAATACAATACAATCTTAGTCAACTATTGCTGTCTACACAGAATGTTAGAAGTACTGTTGAGAACATGCACTATCCAAAATGCATGTCTCACTATGACAGAATTTCTGGGTTTTGGTACTAATAAAAAAACATGAGCACGATGACACTGGAACTATAAATACTTGAGAAAGATGACAAGGAAGCTTTGATTATACAATCTAATTTTAAAATCAAATTCCTTCACTAAGTTTTATGATCATGGCAGCCCTTAAAACCACAAGTCACTTGAACTGAAAGGCTTTGTGACTGTTCTCACAGTGATTCAACAAGTAAATAAATACCACAAGTCACAAGGTTATCATTGCTAAAAATAAAATAATAATGTAAAATTGATAACTATTGTAAGTTATAGATAAGAAAAGTTAGTTATTTTATTTTATTTCATTTTTGAATAGAAAAATGTTTTGGAGAGTAGAAGTGAATGAAACTCAATCAACAGGGAGAAACTTAGTACAACATGGAAGTATATATTTAGTATAGGACAATCGTATAAGCATAAAACCTTTGTCATTTTAAATGAACTAGTATTATGAACTAATATTAAATGATATCCTCTGATTAGTCATTTTTCTTAAAAATTGTACTTTTCCTTTGAACATGCTAAATTAACATGCTTTTGCGAAAAAGTATGTATAATTTATTAAAGCAAGCATCTATTTATTAGCTACTTCATTATTAAGAGCTCAGCACTCTCATTTTGTAGATGGTATTTTGTGACATTTAAGTATTTAAACGCTGAACTGTATAAGGATTCTGGAGAGACAGTACAAGAGGTATTGTGCTTGTCTTGTACATGGTTGACCTGGGTTCAATTCCTAGTCCCCATAAATTTTTTAATGTATTTTTTATTCTAATTAATTTATTTTTATTGAATCACCTTGAGATGCACAGTTACAGAGCTGTTTATGATTGGGTTTCAGCCATACAATGTTCCAATACTATCCCTCCACCAGTGTACATTTCTCACCACGAATATCCCCATTTCCTTCCCACCATCTCCAAACAATCCTCACTACCACAGCCACAGCCTGCCTCTTTTCTTCTCTTTTCTTCTCTCTCTCTCTCTCTCTCTGCATTATGGTTTGCAAAACAGATACTGAAAGGTTATCATGTTTATTCCTTTACCTACTTGCAGCACGTAGCTCTTATCCAGAGTGGTCATTTCCAACTATCATTTCATTGTGAACCCTCCTCTATTACAACTGCCTTCTCCTTCATTACATGAGACAGACTTCTAACCATGGACCAATCCTAGTCATTGTTTCTACTGTCATTGGGTACTAGTCTCATACTATGTTTATTTTTTATATCCCACAAATAAGTGTAATCAATCTATGTCTATTCCCTCTCCTCTGACTCATTCCACTCAATATCATACTCTCCATGTACATTCGTTTATAAGAGAACTCCATGATTTCATTTTTCCCAACAGCTGTGTTGTATTCATTGTACAAATGTACCATGGTTTTGTTAACCAGTCAACTGTTCTTGTTGTTTTCAGATTCTTGCTATTGTTAATAGTACTGCTATAAACAGAAATTTAGATGGTATTTCTGCTATCTATTTTTTTACCCTTGGTATATATTCCCAGAAGTTGTATTCCTAGGTCATAAGTAAGCTCAATTTCTAGATTTTTTTTGAGGAATTGTCGTACCATATTTGATAGGGTTCAAATATGGTAACACCTACAAGGGTGATTAGAGGTCACCCCAAAAGCCTCTATACCTCTCGGAAAGACTGGCAAGCTACCGAGAGTATTCCGCCCGCATGGAAGAGCCTGGCAAGCTATCCGCTGTGTATTCGATATGCCAAAACCAGTAACTACAACTGGTCTCATTCACCTGACCCTGAAGGCTTCACCGATATGGCAGCACTGAGAAGGATGAGAAAGGAGAGGCCGACAAAATCTCAAGGCCGACCTAGGCTGCCACAACGAAGGAAGACAAAAATGATCGTCTGTACTTTCAATGCACGTACGCTAGCATCAGATGCATCCATCGAGGACCTGATGGTACAAGCGCAAATGATCAAGTACGACATCATTGGTCTGACCGAGACAAGAAGGCACAAATCTCACAATGCCGTTTTCGACACTGGAGAAGAATTGTTCCTCGGAACATGCGATAAAAGAGGTGTTGGAAGCGTCGGTGTCCTTGTCAACACAAACTTGGCCAAGAGCATTGATTCATTCGAATGCCTAACAACCCGAATTGGACATTTACATTTGAATAGATGTGGCTCACTGCCTGCAGTTTCTATCTTCGTTGTCTACGCACCAACATCTCATTATGATGAAAGAGAAATCGAGAAGTTCTACATGGAGCTAGAGAAGTTCTATAAAGAAG